GGGGGATTGAAGATGGACAGCATCTGCAGTGATATGACCCAAGCTGGAACCCATGACACCTGGGTCTTAAAGATCCCAAGGTGCTTGGAGTGAGGGCCTTTCTTGCTTGAGCTGCTTAGGTGCCTCATCTACTCCTTTATAAAACTATGAATTGAATAATTACAAATACTAGATGTTTTTATTTTTATATGAATCTACCCCCAGGGGTAAATAATGCCCGTCCTTGAGTGACACATTCGTTTAACTGACTAAGTGGACAAGATGTCTTTAAACAAAATGTCCCTAAACCAGCAGGAACCCAGACCTGAAGGATCAGTGTTGGCTACTCCACCCCACTTATCAAACGGAACTGTGAATGAGCTCAGTTTTGTTCAGACTGCAAAAAAAATGGTGAAAACCGATCTGCTCAAAAGGGGGGAATCCCTGATCCTAAGTGAGTATCTACTCTAGAAATCGATTCTGTTAATGCAAACCCTGCAGTGACGCTGCAAGAACTTTCATCAAGGTTTTGATGTTTGTGATAAAAATACAATGAAACACTGTGCTTTCATAAGTGTTTGGCTTGTATCCGTCATGCAGAAGTTGAAAGAAGCTCTTTCCTTCCCATTTTTTTGTTCTGATGTTGTTTTGCTTCCTATTTTGTCTCTAGCGTCTTCATACCTGAGGGCAAACAAACCGCTCTTTTAGAATTAACCCCCGTCTTCAGTGTAGCGGAGCAGTATGTCAGTTTCAGAAGTTCAAGCCAGTCTTATGAGAGGTTATGGTTCAGACATTAAGATGAGGTATCTCCATCACTTTTTGAATTGGCTGAGGAAATGCTGCACACAGACTTGTCCAGCAAAGGGCACATTCGGCCGTGTATATCGCTTTTTTTAGTGTACTTCCATGGCAGTCATTTCCCCACCACAACAAAAGCCCCAAAACAAAATTTCCATCACGTGCAGATAAGTGGAGAGCATTACAGTGAACATTTAGTGGTCTTATTTGTCCTACATATGGCTGCGTATTAAAAGGACTTTTGTGGATTTTCACTTTTGGGGGTCTCAGCTCACAGAGGCACAGTGACCTCTACAGCTTTTCAGGTGATCCTGAGCATGCAGTGCAGTCTGTGAATGACACCCCTCTCCTCCGCTGTGCTGCCTGTGTCTTGTTAAAAGATGAAGGGGTCAAATGTTGGGCAGGTTGGAAGAGCCCTCAGTTTCTCCCGTGTGCAGTTGCAGGGTCCGTAACCATGAGGTCAGACATGAAAAACACACAATTCACTGCTCCAAAGCAGGTGAGTATAACAGAAAGTAATGGGCAATTCTAAATTTTTTTAAGAAAATCAAACTTTAAGATAAGGTTGTATTTATGAATCCCGCACCGGATCTCTGGATATCAAGTGGCACTTTGATTCACAGTGAGAGAGCAGCTACAAGGCTTTCACACCTGGTCATGAGACTCAAATTATCAAGTTTGTCTTGGCTTGTTGTCAGCTCATGGGGAACAAAACAAGCAAAGGTTGTTTATATCACTCAGGTTTTGTTCTTTTGTTCTATTTCATACCGTCCTTTCAGTTAGACTCTTTCAAGTATTCGCCGCATGACTGTATGGGTCTGTGCCAGGTTGACTTTGTGTTACCAGAAACACAAAGATCCAGAGGTGTTTGGAGTGAGGGTGTGTCAGTGTGAGTGTGACCTCCATCCTGAGAGACTGCCCTGGGCTCCTGTCCTCAATGATCCAGAGATAGTGAAGTGCACAAGCACCAGCGGTAGACTTCACCACCTTAAGAAGAAAAGAAACATCTTAATCTGGACCCACACTCCTCCAGGTATCTGCTGGAAATACCTGCTGCTTGTCAGCTGGTGTGGACCTGTCAGTAAAGGGTGTGAATAAGACTTGCTTATCTGAACAGGAAACAGTTTATCACCCTTAAGAAAATACACGCGCACTTTGCACCCTGCAAGTAAAGGGATCAGACTGTAAACAGAAGAACAGAGAGGGAGAAATGGCGACCGGAGGCTGTCTGGGGTTTAGTGCCGGTGAGTGCTTGTTTCTGAGGGTATTGGGCTCAGGAGAGGTTGATGCTCAGTAGGGCAGCAGCATGAGGAACAGTGTCCAAACCCAGCAGGCGATCAGAGGATCTGAGCAGGACTCTGAACCTCTGCTCTGTGGCGGGCCATCTGAGGTTCTGCTGGAACTGTAGCAGACTGACAGTGTGTCTCGGGTCTAAGAGAGGGGTGCAGGACTGGGAGAGTGAAGAGGCTTGGGAATCTTTTCCCAAAACATTCTTACAAGCTATGCAGAAGAGTGTGCCTGTTACGTCATTGCTGTAATGTGAATTTGAGGAGACGGAGCTGGAGTCTCATAGTTCCACTTCTCCAGCCTGTAAGAATATCTCAGCAGATCTCTGTTGTGTTCAGGCTGGGCTTGACTGTCTCTAGGGTAGATCTGACACATTATAAAAAGTTTATCTGACATTGACCTGCAAGCCTGCTACTTACAGATCATTTCCAGATCTCACCAACAGACTAACTGTTCTGACTCAGTGTGCCTTCTAAAAAGTAAATGATCTCTTATCACCAGTTACCAAGGATCATCAAATGTGTCTTTGGTGTGTTTGGGCACTTTTCCAATTAAACAGGAACAAAGGAGTTAATGATCCCTCCTTTGAAAGCTTTCATTTTACTGGGCAGCGTTTATGGCTTTTTTAATAGCCATCTTTTAATGGCTAGAGTATATACTTTATCTGTAGAAAACTGCTTTACACTTGTAAAGTATTGGCATATAAATTAGGCTGTGAGAAGGTAAAGACATGTTAAGCGATTCCAATGAAGTGACTCTTGTCTGAGTAGATTAAAAAAATGCGTAACTCATAAATGTCATTTTGCAGGTTGTTTAAATTGTCACTTGTTATCTTCACCTGTGTAAAATGAGGAGAACAATCCATATTTAAAACATATATATTATACATATTATTAATAATTTAAACTGGGATGCATGGTGGCACAGTGGTTATCACTGCTGTCTTGCAGCACTGGGGCCCAGGGTTCAACCCCATAGCTGGGGTGTTACCTTGAGTTTGTATGTTCTCATTAGGTCAGCGTGGGTTTCCTCCCACAGTCCAAAGCCATGCTGGTAGGTTAATTGGCATCTGGGGAAAATTGGACCTGGTGAGAGTGTGTGTGCATCTGTGTCTGTCTTTGTGCCTGTGTGTCAGGCTTGTACCCTGTCTTGCACTTGTTGCTGGCTGGGCTCCAGCTCCCTTCGCGACCCTGACTTGGAAGAATTGGTTAGAAAATGGATGGAGGGAAATAATTTAAACTTGGTGGTAATTTCAATCTCATATATGGCTACATATGCTGAGCAGAGTATCCAAGCTCTGTATCCAAGAATACACGCACACACTGTAGAACTTCTACCTGTGTGAGCTGGCGAGGCAGAAAGAAGAGCTGAGGTACCGCCACTCTCATTGGTGGACCTCCTCCTTTACCGAAATGGGCACCCCAATTATCATACCTTGAGCTCGACAGGGGTTCCTCACAAAGAGCAGCTCATGTAAGAGTCGAGTTTTGAAGAGGGAATGAAGGGCGGTCTTTGTCTCTGACAGGTGAGCCGGAAGAAGAGGAAAGGGGAGACGTCCCCCACAAGGAACACCTGCCCCTCGCCGAGCTGAGGATCGTGCTGTTGGGGGGCACAGGGGCTGGCAAGAGCTCGGCTGGAAACAACATCCTGGGCTGCGAGGAGTTCGACAATGACACGGAGACAGAGGAGTGTCAGACGGGGCAGGGAGAAATAGCGGGGAGGAAGGTCACTGTGGTGGACACGCCGGGCTGGCAGTGGCTTTCCACACAGGCCACCCCAGAGGAAGTCAAGCAGGAGATCATGCGCAGCGTGTATCTGTGCCCCCCGGGTCCCCACATCTTCCTCCTGTTGGTTCCGGTGTACTTATTCACAGACAAGCACCGGAAAGCAGTGGAAGAGCACCTGGAGCTGCTGGGTGAAAGTGCTTGGAGCCAAACGATCCTGGTGTTCAGCAGGGGAGACTGGCTAGGGAACAGAACCATCGAGCAGCACATTGAGAAAGCAGGGGAGGATCTCCAGGCAGTCATTGAGAAGTGTGGGAAGAGGTACCATGTTCTCAACAATAACAACACGGGCAATCGTGCTCAGGTGGAAGAGCTGCTGATAAAAATCGAGGAGATGGTGGCTGGTGATTATTGGGGTTGTGCTCTCGGTAATAAAGAGGGTTACCCAGAGACAGAGCAAGGCCAAAACAAGGCACCAAAGGAAGGGGAGCTGGAGGAAAAGACTGAGAAACCTAAAATACACTTACAAGGGTCGAATGGCAAGAACCCACCACCCATCAGTAAGTCTTAGTGAAACACTAATGGGTGCTATAAGTAGCAAGCTGAATTGTGTAGATTTTTTACTAAATGATTGATCGTCGTTGTGTGCTCTCTTCTGAGTGAGAGGCAGACGTCACGCTCATTACATAGCCCAGTGGCTACAAAAATAACCATTTTATTTTGTGGGTCTGGTTATTCATTTGTTACGTTTTTTTACTAGGGTGATGACTTGACTAGGGTCAAGCCTGCAGTATCACGATCCCATGGTGCTTTACTAGGGTAGAAACCACCAAGAATTCCCCCGCCCTCCTTGAGGCTGGTTAATGTGGTAGAAGTCCTGGGTCCCTGATCTTACAGGGCTCTCTAAATCAACGCTAGCCAATTCTGTATTCCTAAACCCAGGGTCTGCTGGCTTTTTCTTCCAGCTGAGCCCTTGGCTATGTATGTGAGCCTTTAACTGAACTAATATTCTGAGACATGAGACTCATTTTCCTGCTTCTAGAAAGCAGCTGCTTTCTTGATACTACTGAATTTGTTTGAGGTAAATCAGTACTCCCTGACAATTCCGGAACCGAACCCAATAAAATAAAAAAAAATCTAGCAAATTATTAATCAGTTAGAAGAAATACTAGTACTCGCTGGGTCATGTGATGTGAGCCTGCACTGATTTAACCACATGGTTAATTAACCACTTAATTAACTTTTAGCATTTGACCCAGGTAGATTTGCAGGTGAGGGGTTCCGTGCGCTTTGGTCTGAGAAACAGTCCCCTTTCTTCGGCCCTCCTCAAGGTTTCCTGACCCGGGTCGTTACACTCATTACAGAGTGCAATAAGTGTGAGAAGCTGGTCTCTTCCTTGTAGTCAGGGACGGGCCAAGATTGGGTGAAGCAGAAACTCACCGCTGCCTTGATCGTGTTCCTATCTAGCATCTGGAGGAAAAGGAGCTGCAGCCGAAGAAAGTGGAGACTCTCCCGGGGACAGAGAAGAGATGGAGAAACAGATGCGAAAGGACCTGAAGGAAGGGGAGAGGGGGAACAGGAAAGAGGAATCTGTACTTTCATTCAAGAGGAGAACCAGCAAGAAGCACCATTTTGTCCGTGAGTCTGATTATCGCTTTCATTGCCACTCAAGTTCGGATCTTGCTGAGCAAGTGACGGTGAGTTGAGTTTCCTTCTCAGAAAATGGAGTCTGCTCTTGTCCTCATGCATCCCAAAAGTTGTCATGCCACGAGAGTGAATGACTCAACTTTTCACCCTCATTAAAAAGCAGGATCTGTTGCCCTGACTGGCACACACGTGAAACGTTTAGGAACTAAGCGTTAGGCTTTAGTTCAGTGGGAGTTCAGGGAGATTTGTCTTCTCATGCAGTGTCTGGAATTGAAGAAACAACTCCTGACACAGAAAGTGCGGAGAATCCCTCAGAGAAAGACGAGCTGAAGCAGAAGAATGGAAAGACACAAAAGGATACAAAGCTGTCCAGAGAGACGGAGGAATCCCACCTGCCACTCCAGAGGAGTAAAAGCGTAGATCATCCACCAAACTGTGAGTCTAACGGAGACATTATTGTTGAGTCATTGATCTCATGGTCTTCTTCTGACAGGTATCCAAAAAGTGTAAGAATTCATTTCTGGAGTTTTGGGGTTATAAAGTCTGGTCACATCTCTAGTCACATCACAGTCCTAGCTGTCTTGTTTTGCAGTGAAGTATTGTTCCAGTGAGAGTCATTGATCTCATGGCTCTTTTTTTGACATGTTTTCATTTATGGAGTGTGGGGTCATCAAGCTTTGTCTCATCTCTATGTGCGTTTTCAACTGCGACAGCCAGGAAATCTAACAGTCCTAGCTGTCTTGTTTTGCAGTGAAAGGAGATACCATTCCTATGACAATCTATGATCTCATAGCTCTTCTTTTGACATGTATTCAGAAAGTTGAAGAACTTTTTTATGGAGTTTGTGGTCATCAAGCTTTGTCTCTATGTGATTTCATCTGCAACAGCCAGAAAATCTAACAGTCTTAGCTGTCTTGTTTTGCAGTGAAGGGAGATACCATTCCAGGGAGAATCCTGAGGGAGACTCATAGTTTAGATACCCCTGCACCTTACTTTCTATCTGATCTGAGACTGGTGCTGCTGGGACAGACTGGGGCTGGGAAGAGTGCAGCAGGGAACACCGTTCTGGGCGCAGAGCTGTTTCCCTCTGAATCCAGCAGCTCTGCGGTGACGAGACACAGTGAGAAGAGGAAGGGACGAGTGGCCAGGAGGCGGGTGGCTGTGGTGGACACGCCGGACTGGATCCACACAGAACTCTCTCAGGAAGAAGTGAAGAAGGATGTGGGGCTCTGTATTAACCTGTCCTCCCCAGGCCCCCATGCTTTTCTCCTGGTGATTCCAGTGGGGCGGTCATCAGGGGTAGAGAAGAGCCTACTGGAGATGGTCCAGGAGATTTTCGGGGAGGGGGCTGTGGAGCACACCTTGGTCCTTTTCACTCACATGGATGAGCTTAAGGGGAAGACAATCGAAGAGTTTCTCCAGGAAGGCAGCACAGACCTGAAATGGCTTGTGGAGAGATGTGGGAACAGGTATCACGTCCTCAACAACAACAACACAGATGATCGCAGTCAGGTCACAGAGCTCCTGAAGAAAGTAGAGCAGGTGGTCGCAGGAAATAAGGGCAGCAACTACAGCAGTGAGATGTACCAGCAGGCAGAGGCCCAGATCAGACAGAGGCAGGAGGAGCTATTGAGGGAGAGGGCAGAGGTCAAGCAGAGGGAAGTGGAGGGATTAAGGGAGAAGCACCATGAAGAAGCGCAGTGTTACCTCCGGAAAATGGAGGCGGAAATCCAGAACCAGACAGAACGTATCAGAGTTGTGGAGGAGTGGATAGCCGAGCTGGAGGAAAGAAAGCAAGAAGAAAGGGATGGGGAAAGCAGAATAGCTCTAGATGAAGCAATAGAGACAAGGAAAGAACAGAGAGAGAGGCTGGAGGAAGAGACGGGGAAATTGAGAGAGGAACAGAAAAAGGAGAGGAGAAGGAGGGAGGACAGACAGAGGGGTGAGATTGAGGAGCTCAGGGACCAGTATGAGCAAAAGGCCAGGGAAGAGGCAGAGAGATGTGGGGAAATATTCCAGCCGGTCAACACGTTAACAGCCCGGGCCCTGGCAGCCAGGCAGGAACATGTGAAATACAGGAGGGAGATCGAAGAGCTCAGGCAGCGCTATGAGGAGAAGGTCAGAGAGGTAGAGAGATACAAAGAGCTGCTCCAGGAGGTCAGTGCATCGGCAGCAGAATCCACTCCAGCAGCAGATCTGCAGACACCGCCTCCTGGTGCTGCGCTGGGTGCCTACATAGGGGCAAAAATCGGGACAGCAGTTGTTGAAGCAGAGACCCGAGTTAAAAGGCTGTTCCACAGAGAGTAAAGCGTTGTCCTGTGAAGATGGCCCTTTCAACACTGCAGCATTATTTCTGCCAAATTCAAATTCAAGGAGCTCTATTGGCGCGACCGACGAATTCCAGCGTTGCCAAAGCAGAAACCAACGACAGAACATTTACCGACATCGGCAGTTAAAAAAAGATACTGTATCATTGGACACTTAAAGACGACAGATAAAAAACAAAATCCTCACTGTCTGGTCCTCAAACTTTGATTTCACAAGGAAGCTGGGAGATACTGTGTATACCAAGGAAGCACAGACTACACGTGATATGTACTCTATGAGTGAGTTCAGTGTCAAAGAACAACTTAGTGTGTTTACCCTAACACAATCTGAACCACAATTATAATCACAATTATTAAGAGACTAGACAATTCTTCAAGTGCATGCTATCTGCTGACAGACTAAAGCTACGGATTGAAAAATATAGCAGTAAGATGCTATATTACTTTACATTTTAGAGTAGATCAGACTTTTCCTGCAATGGACTGGTGTCCCATCCAGGGGGTATCCTGCCTTGCACCTGGATCCCCCACAATCCTGTACTGGATACAACGGTTAGGAAGTGGATG